TTGTATAATTATGAAAAAATATATAATTATTATAAGTTAAAATATAGTACAAACTAGCCTTGTTGTAACATATAGCTTTCAAAGTGACAAAATGACATAAAAAGTTTTTACAATACATATACACATGTATAACAATTTCATAGGGAATTTACTTTTACATAGTTAATATAATAGTTACATTGAAGTATAAATAATATAAGTAAAAATAATTAATGCCAATAACACAGTAGTAATGTCAAATTGTTTAGTTAACATTACATTTACTGAAAAGAATGTAAGTGAAGAACAATTACAATTACAAGAATCTTTTCATATTGTTGTTTATTACAAATGATCGAATATAGGTCGAATAATAATTTATCAATAATTTTATAGTAATGTAAAGTAAAAATGGAGTGGTATTGACCCTGCCTAAGTATTACATAAGGAGTAAATCACTTTCAGTTCCCATATATGACTTGAATTTCGAATTATTACAAGTAAAAATTTTTCCTTTCAAGAAAAATTGTCGTATCCTAAATCAAAAAACAAGATGGGCATACTCGAATGCGTTTGAACTGACGAAATTAATGAAAAAGATCATTTACAATGCCGTTAGGCGACAGACACCATTTAGATTAACCAATGCCGGCTTTACGAAAATTTAGTATGCTGCAAAAATTATGTGATCTCGATGTACAAACAAAGGTTTCACTTGAAATAACGCAATTGGTGCTGATAGTGAGATTTCTATGTACTTACCGTTTTCTGTGATAATACACGAGTGCAGAAAACTGCGTGACTTCTCCTAAGAATTGCGTACGTGAGACGGTATACCAGTCGGGAAAGAACGACTACTAACTGCGCATAGTTGGGTTTACGCATGCGCGAGACAATAAATTCTAAAAAATTGCGAATTATTTTTATACGAAACTGCCAATAATATTCATGAAATAAAATTATACGGTATATTTACGAAAATATTGATTTATTATAAACGGTTACAAATTCCGTCATTTAATTGATGTGTTGATCCATTTTTCGGATGTTACGTAATCTAGAGAACCACCCTCGTAGACTTCGATTTGGCACCCATCCGGTTCGTTCAATGCTGTTTATTGACCTTTGAAGATGGGGATAATGTATTTTTCGAATTACGAGATTTCTTTAAAAATAAAATTATGACTATTTGGTTTTATTGAAATCAATAAAATATGTCATTTATTGTAATATACAATCTATAAATACATTTACACGTTTATTTATCCTCAAATATTAAAGCGTTTATTTACACTTAAATATACATTGTCACATTCGATACAGTTAAAAGTTACTTAGAAATAGAAAGTTATTTTTAATATGCTTTATATTGCTTCGTAAATTATATATGTAGTCTGTCCTTACCCTTTTTGTAAAATGATTGTTAATGTATCTTACGAATAAAAGTAAGAAAAAAGAGTCATACAAACGAAAACTCAAAAATATTTTGTCAACAAATTATGAGAAAAATATGGATTAATAACGGACTGATTTTCGTTCGATATAGCGTAAGAACAGATTGGTGGTATCTGTCTAATCGATTTACATAATTTGTGTTTATTATTTAAGGCCGTTGTAAAGGGGTACATATTGTGGT